CTTCCACTCTGTGACTCTGTGAACTCCAGGTGGGGTATCATGAGAAATGAGCGCCAATTGATTGATTAATGAAAATTACTCAGCTTGAACAACTGTATGTTGGGGACTGGTTTGGAGCATTCCCAATTCCTTTGTATTTGCACTGCACCCAAAAGGGAAAAAAGGGCATTTCAACAGCCTGAAACAAAAGATTTAATTTTCAAGCTGCAGAAGATGTTTTTTAAAATAAATTTGATATACAGTTTAGTGGAACATGTTTCAGGCATGTGTAATATTTTGACATGAATGGCTGGGGCTTATTATGGGAAAAAAGTTTCACTCTAGAACATCAGTGCCAGGCCCTTACTGCATATGACTGGAGATTTATGCTGAGGACCCTGATCAAAGTTATTTGACTGAATGTCAGGAAAGATTTTTTTTTTTTTTTTTTTAATGTGTTTCAAATAATTACTGTAACGTCCTGGCCTAATTTCACCTCTGCTCACCAACATTGACTTCAGCCAGGAGTGGGTTTGACCCTCATTATTTCTCTCATACTATCAACCAGTCCCTGTTGTTACAGAAAATATTTACAAGCTGCCTTAGAGAAAAGTTCAGTACCCTCTAGCAGGATTAATATCATAGACATTCTTTGCATTTGAGGTGCTTTGTTTTCCCCTTAAAAACTGTAAGCAGCTTCATTACTGCACTGTAACGAGTCTCCATCTTCCTCTAATTAGCTGGGAGTCATTAAAACACTGAGCATGTTTTGGCACATGTAGCAAAGCGAACAAGCCTGGAGTACAGATGAAGTACTTGGTAACCCTGAAAGCTTTGGACTGTGTGGAGGAAAAGAAAAGAACAGAAAGCAAAGCATAAATGTCATCAGTTCTTACACAAACCTGAGGAGAGGGTTCACAATATAAACACACTTCAATATAAAAGGTAGTTTAAACTGCTTGTTCAGTATTTCTCAAACTGAAATCGATGCTTAGGTAAGAAAATAGAGTATGTGTTCAAGACCTTCAAATATTTTTAAAATATGTGTGAGGGCCCGGAAAGACCTGAACTGTCTCCTTAACCTATTTCTCTGTGATCTTGTTCAGATAACTGTATCCTTCAGCTTCTAGCTTTCATCTGCTAGGCAGTTAAAATATTCTCCAAAGGTGTTGGTGTGTAATGATCAGGACTGAATGAGCAAGTGCAGATTTAATATGTGCACACCTACATACACCAGCTGTCTTTGGGACAAAAAACTAACTCGTATGCTTTATGGCAGATGTCTGCATTGTGCAGCTCCTCGTCTTTGTCAGTCAGCAACAGATTCCTGCGGATGGTCGATTAGCCTTGTTTCCCTGAAAGCCATTTGCTTTGCCCTTCAGCTAAAACCATGTCTCAGCAGTTGGTTGCATATTCAAATGGTGTGCTGCTTTGGGTATAATGCTTAGCATTAACATTACTGCATGCATATATTGTACCATAATACTGCCTTATCATAAGAACCACAGAGGAATTTTTATAAACCCTCCACTTTTGTTTCCTGTAAGATGGCTGTATGAAAGGACTGACCTCTGTCGTTGAATGGGACTTTACATTCTTCAAGAAACAAATGAACAGAGATTGTCTGCCAGAACTTACCTCAGTCCTCTTCTTCCCATCTCATCAACTTGCTTTCCCACTGCTCTGTTAAGTCACTGCGAAAGCCCACAAGGAAGAGCTGATACCTCTCACTGGGCACCCTCCCTCAGCATTATGCCAACTGGGTTTTCATCTTTCCCTGTTTTTGTACTAAGGTACTTCACCCAGTGGAGCACACACTGAGCCCTGGACCTTTGTGGTAGTGCAAGATCCATATTTAAAACATAAGATTCGTGAGATTGTAGAAGAAGAAGAAGAAATCAACTACAAAAAACGGATGGGAGACAGATGGGTTAATGACCTGAAAAGACTGAGGTAAGAAAAATTCAAACTGAAAATACTCACCTTGATTTTGAAAACCTTATTTTGAAAATATTCTTCCAAGTCTATGTTCCTTAAAATTCACAGTTTTCTGGTGCTGCTCAGGAGGGCAGCTGTGTAAGTATTTCCCACATCCTGCTCAGAGAAAATAGAGGAAATTGGGGTCAGAGACTGCCCCAGCCAGAGAGTTGCCAGTGTCACTACACTGTGGTTCTTTTGCTAATTTATAGCTGGGAAGAAAAGACTTCTGTCTGAGGAAAGTGAAGTTCTCACCTAGCAAGAGCTGGGGAAAAAAAAAAAAATTACTATCTGTTTTAATTCTGGTTGCCTTGTTCTTAGGGCCAGGTGAAATGCAGCATCTGAATGACACAGCCTACTTGCTTGTGGGATGGTGTGAGAAGCAGAAAAGGCCTTGACTTTGTGTAAGCACTGCTCAGCAATAGCTAAAATTATTATCAACACTACCAACATTGTTTCCATCACAAATCCAAAACATAACATCATACTAGCTACTGTGAATAAAATTAACTCTATCCCAGTCAAAACCAGCACACACACACACACAAGAAAAACCTACTATGCCTGTGTGCTTCAATCTTACCAGAAGAAGAATGAAGTGACTAAGATGTCCAGCACGCTTTTTCCTCTTGCATGGCTTTGTCTTAATTCTCAAGATGATGGGAATCTTACTGAAAGCACCACAATTAAGAAAGCTGAAGTGACAGAAGAAGCTTGTCTTGAATTCTTCTAGTATTCTTATCCATTTCTTTCTCCATCTCACTTTTAATATATTTCTAAGATTTATGTTTAGAAAGAAAGTCTTAAAAATATGTATAGCATTGTGCCTTGGTGACTGGGTCGTAAGATTGCCTCCAGTAAAAGGAATTCTATACTCTCCATCTTGAACCCTTTCCAAGCATTTGGCTCCATCATTTGTTTGGGGTTTCTTTATATAACCTCTGTTGCCATAACTCTTGTCCCAGTTTTTTCCTGTTGTTTTCCAAACAATGAAGCTCCCAAAATCACTGGGAGCTTTTCTGCTGACTGAGGTAGCCCCAAGGCTTGTTTCTATGCAATTGCTGAATTATGTAATATTTAACTGTCCCAAATGCCTTCCAAAGTCTGATTGACTTGCTTAACTTTGCACAGTGGGAAGATGTCTACTGAGTTTTGGCTTGTAAAATGAAGCATATGCACAAAGCTTTACAGGGCTGATTTAACCTGCTTGTTTCATGATGTTTTATTTTTCAGGTGCTTATGTGCTATGTAAGCAACTAAAATATAGTATTTTTTATATATTGAGCGAGAACAGTAGAAAGAACACATTTCCTTACCTAAACCCCACATCATAATTGTACATACTGTAATAAAAAAATAGGAACCAAATTAATTCTAACAAGGCTGAAATACCCAGAAACAGAATAACATTTTTGTGCTGTGAGAATATATTTAAGTTCAAACCTCAGAACAAGAAGTTTTGAACTTTTCTGCCAGCAATTTTCCCTGCGATTACGAAAAAGTTGGCACTGCTGGTAATAGGCAGAGTTGCAAGTCTGCAAAATTGCAGGATTTAAATAATCTCAAAGGCAAATGCTCATGAGGCCAGTTCATAGATAAGAGGTCAAGAATTACCTATTTTTATGCAGTTCCACTCTTAAGAGTGAGCACATCAACTTCTCAGCCGAATCTGTTAAAATTGAGACCTCAATTCAAGCTTTTATTTCTTGCCTTTTTTTTAGAGATGTTTCTGTTTAAGCTGATAATACTTAATCCTTTGCAGTAAATGCACTAAGTTTTTGTCTACTGTTATAATTGTCACGTACATTTAATGTCCCCTTGTAGACAGTAAATGTGATTTACAGGAAAGTGAAAAGGCTGCAAAATAAATGTCTTAAAACAGTTTTTTCTTTTTCAGAACAAACTGGATCAAAGAGTACTTGGACACTGCTCCATATCTGATCCTCATTTTCAAGCAGGTATATGGGCAGCTTCCAAATGGCAAAAAGAAGACCCACTACTACAATGAAATCAGCGTTTCTATTGCCTGTGGTATCCTGCTTGCTGCATTGCAGGTAGGTTGACAGAACCGACATAGTGGCGGCCAATATATTGGTTTGGATTACATACTAAGACTATCCTTCCCAAATGAGAGTGGAGACCAGTTTAGATTTTAACATTATCAGTTCTCTGGAGTACTCTAATTCCTGGCAATACGTCTTAGTTTTTAAAGTTATTTTGCACAGGCCCACATCTGAGAAGGTAATTCCTACCCTCCGTACTGGTTAACAAGAATAAAAATGTAATGCAGCTGTCACTCTTCTGGCACAGGCTTCAGCCCTGTGGTTTCTGCCTTAGGCTGACAGGGTCAGCAAATTACCCAAGGGTGACTGTACCGTGCCACACCAGCCCTTTCTTTCAGTAATCTCTAAAAAAATGACTTGACCCCAAATAGTTTTTAGTACACAATACAATGCTGGAAAAAAAGAAATCAGGGACTTATCTCACAGAACAGGCTGTACTATTTCCATCAGACTTCCTGAGGCTTTTCTGAAAGTGAACTGATTTCTAAAGCTCAGCATGTTTGACTTCAGCCAGTTGGATTTTCTTGGTGGTGGTTTCTCAGTGCTCAGTTCTGCACATTGTACCTGATATATTCACGCAAGTGTTAAAATAGCAAAGATATTCTGATCGCTAACTTGGCCCGTCAGCAGGATAACAGCAAGGTGCCATCTCTGATAGTAGGCCAGTTTCCTACCAGGAACTGTCAGTTCTCCATTCTGTTGTGAGTGACACTTCCCTGACTGCATTGCTGCTCCTCAGGAGGATCTTTAGGATGGGAAAGCTGAAAATTGAGCAGTGCAGAAGCACATTGCTGGTGTGTTGCTGCTCTGCTGCTGCACATTGCTTTGTATTTTCCCTCCACGGAGCTGAGAGCAAGGGGGATGCACAGGGAATGTGCACTGGGGAAACAGCACTATGTCACTAGCGCCTTAGTCAGAAGCAGTAGGAATGACAAGGCTCAACTTTCCCCTGAGCCAGCCCATCATTAGGTGGGATTTTGGAGGCTTCCTAGCAACCATTGGGCTCCTTAATCAACGCTCTCTCTTTCCCAGATTATTAGAAACTCATTGACAGCATGAAAGGACACAGTGCCATGGACTCACAACGTTCAGCACCACTGCTATTAGCTCTTCTCCTCTGCAGAAGGTGATAGACGTTACCTAACGTGACAGGGCCATCGCCTGTGCCTGAGCACCTCTCCCTAGCTACATTTTATATCCCAAAGCCTCCCAAAATGCTTGCAGAGAGAGCGAGACTGAAATCCAAATGTGCGACTCTCAGGCAGCGCCTCTGTTGTGTGGTCACATCTTGGATAATGTCAGGTCTTTACTATTTGTTAGATTGTTTAGGGTTTTGGTGAGATTTTATATGAGAGGAGTGATGCATACATATTATTTTGGGATTCCGATGTAAGCCAGGACAGTGGCCACTGTGAGAGATGGCAAGAGGCTCCTGTGACAACTTCTGATGCAGGTGTGTGTCCCCTGCTCTGTGAGGTACAGCTCTTGAGCAGGATCAAGTGTTCACAGAGCTGTAAGGCATCTTCCTGCCAGCTGTATGAACACAAGAACCTAAACATTTCTCTGTATGAGGTGAATGCCATGGGGTGGTATTTCAGTGGTATACTCACAACTGCCTCTCAGCTTCAGCATAGCCATGGGTCCCCTGTTACACTGAACACTGCAGGCAGCTCCTGCTGCACAGCATACAGACTTCAGAATGTGTTGTGCTGTAGTGGAGAAACGCTGTACTTTTCTGTAAGCAAAACAGGCGTCTTTCACAGTGTCACTGAGGCTGCATACAGACCTCAGGAGGAATGTGTTGTGCTGTAGTGGAGAAACGCTGTACTTTTCTGTAAGAAAAACAGGCGTCTTCCACGGTGTCACTGAGGCTGTTGGTAAATCAGATGTTCTAGAGCCTGCAGCAGAGTCTAACGAAGCAGCATTTCTGGGCTAGTCAGTACGAGAACGTGTACCGGTCCGGTGGGAACAGCAGACACAAATACAGAGCACAGCCCTCGGTCTCACTCTGTTACTGTCTGTCTTGCTGCAGAACGCAGGTCTGTACACCGTGACCTCCACACCCCTCAACTGCGGCCCCCAACTCCGGGTGCTGCTCCAGCGCCCACCCAATGAGAAGCTACTCTTGCTGCTCCCTGTTGGCTATCCCAAGAAAGATGCTACTGTGCCTGCGCTGACCCGAAAGCCACTGGAAGACATCATGGTGGTCATGTGAGCCCGTGCCACAAGGAAGGAGCACATCCCTGCAGCTGGCTAGTAAGCGGCAGCCCGCTGAAGTTGTCATTGCTGTTTCTGTGTATCGTCCTTCTACGTCGCTGCTGCTCTGACTACTTACACCTGTATTTCTTTTAGTAAGCTGCTAATAGCAGTGAGCAGCCAAGCACTGTGCATTTGGCGGGTGCTATTACCAATGACCCCTGGCAGCTATTCCAGGGGACACGTACAATGGCATTTAAATGACCTTCATCACTCAATTTTCCTTATGCATTGTAGGGGCAAAGCTTTCCTTCAACTGGAATGTATATTCTCCTCATACTTTTGAGATTAGCATTACACAGTTATTTTCACTTCAGAATTTTAATGGAGGTTGTATTAAAAGATATGAAGAGGTCATACTCAGCTGTCTTATCTTGGTCAATGTGTGCTGGCTAAATGCCCCTTCCCCTTCACTGTGTTCAGTTCTGCATGGGAGGAAGCTATTCTTCTCACATACAGTAGCATTTTCCCTACCTGACGGATCTCAGAAACCTTGTCTATACCAGGCTTTCTTAAGCTATTGCTGCTACAAGGGTCTTTAGCTGGGGGAGATCTAGTAGAAAGAAGGCATCCAAGTAATTTCCTTGTTACCAAAATTTTATTTGTACAGGTTCCAGGCACAGTGAGGTCATATGGCAGCTATCAATTTTGCCCTCTCTATTTGCCGCTTCCACTGGAAGCACCCCAAAGGGAGCCATTATTCTGGTTATCCTGTTTATATCTACAATGACACCAGTTTAACACTGAAATCTAAACTGCTTTGGAGACCCTGACGCGTGAGAGGTGCTTTCATGTCACACCAAATCAGACATATTCAGGTTTATTTTAAGGTCGCTTCCCACAAAAGCAATGCTCCCTACTAAAAGCCTTGTCTACTGGGAAGAAGTGAATGGTGGGGTTGTGGTTCCTGCCAGCTTTGCAAGCAGCACAAGATGAAAATACTGAGAGACATCCTTCCCTGAAGCTGCCGATATTCTGTGAAATACTTTCACATTCTGCTTTCTGCTGCATGTAACTTCAGGTAAATTTAGCCAAATTGGCTTCAGCCTTCTTTGGGCTTGTTCGAGTTTACTTGCTGCAACTTCCCTGAAGTCAGTCCTTTTAACATGACCTGTTGTCAGCTGAGCAAGTTGGGGGACAGTATTTTGCAGAGGTACAGCTTTTGCAGTGCCAATGCCTCTGTCAAACAATAAGAAAAACTGTTTTTCACTTTGGCAGACCATTTTGCCAGTATTTAGCAGGCATAGCTATGTGTTCATCTGTTTCAGTAGCCCCATTTCACATCCTCAGTGGTACAGCAATGGCAGGAAGAGTTTCTCTTGCAGACTTGAAATGAGCTTTTATAACTACAATAAAAAAAAAAAAAGTGTGCCGCATCTACATGCTTTCAAGATCTAAAAGCTAGTCAGGGGCAGAGGGATGAGCTGAACTGAGCCAAGGCCGACTGGCTGCAGGTTACCAGTTATCACATACTAAAGGTGCTGTAGCAAGCTTTCTGTATGTCCAGGTGCTGCTCTGCCATATCAGGCCCCTTCACAAAGCAGTTCGTACCTGCTGTAAACGTATATAAGCCCAATTATGTTTGTTATAGAGTTCACATCGATAGAGGACTTTTTCAGGAATTTTTTTTCAGGAAGAGAACATGCTGGGAGGGATGTCTCCCACACAACCAGTAGGGATTATTTAGTTTTGATATTCCTCTCCTTATTATGTTTAAAACCAAGATTAAAAGATTTGACAGGGTTAGCAAAATACGCTGGAAATTAGCATCTCTCCTCATGATACCTTATGACCACATCTCTGAAAGGCTCTGGACTTAGTCTACCCACCTCTTCTAGAAAATGACTACTGCTCAGATGGGAACTGAGTCCTTCAGAAAACTTTGCTCTAAATAATAGTATTCTAGAATCACAGACTAGAATCACAGAATAATTAAAGGAGTGGTGGGCTTCCAACATTTATCCTCTCCAAATCTCTGCTCAAAGCAGGTCTAGTTAGGTCAGGTTGCTCAAGATCTTGTCCAGTCAAATCCTCACACTTGCTGTTCGTGGCTTGGATGCATGCACATTTCACTGAGTGAAAACTGGCTGGATGGCTGGGCCCAAGGAGTGGTGGTGAATGGAGTTGCATCCAGTTGGCAGCTGGTCACCAGTGATGTTCCCAGGGCTCAGTACTGGGGCCTGTTCTCTTCAACACCTTTATAATGACCTGGACATGAGGATCAAGCGCACCCTCAGTAAGTTTGCGGACAACACCAAGCTGGGCAGGAGTGTTGATCTGCCTGAGGGTAGAAAGGCTCTACAGTGGGGTCTGAACAGGATGGATCGATGGGCTGAAGCCAATTCTGTGAGGTTCAACAAGGCCAAGTACCGGGTCCTGTACCTGCGCCACATGCAACACTAAAGGCTTGAGAACGAGTGGCTGGAAAGATGCCTGGTGGAAAAGAAGCTGGAGTTGTTGGCTGACAGCCGGCTGAATATGAGCCGGCAGTGTGCCCAGGTGGCCAAGAAGACAAATAGCATCCTGGATTGTATCAGAAATAGTGTGACCAGCGGGACTAGGGAAGTGACTGTCCCCCTGCACTGGCTGCACCTTGAATCCTGTGTTCAGTTTTGGGCTCCTCGCTACAAAAAAGGTAGGTGAGGTGCTGGACTGTGTCCAGAGAAGGGCGACATTGCTGGGAAAGGGTACAGAGCGCAAGTCCTGTGAAGAGAAGCTGAGGGAACTGGCATTGTTTAGCCTGGAGAAGAGTGGACCTGCAGAGGTGAGAAGTGTCACCCAGGAGCACGGGATGTCACAGCTTCTTTTATTTCTTTGGCTAACATTAGCTATATCAGACATCTAAGAAAGCTATAACCTCTCAGCCAAGTCTTTGCCTATAGAGATGGAACTCCCCTACGTTTGTGGAGTGTAAATAATACGGAGAACAATCAATGGCATGAAAGCTGGGCAACAAGTCCATTCAAATTTAAAATGGAAGAGAGTCCTTGAAGCTTGAACCAGTGCAGCAGCAAGTTACCAGTTAAATATCACATCCAGTTGGGGTTGTGTGTATGTAATCACTATTAACCTCAGCTACAAGACTGGAACTGCATTAAACTAGTTCTGATAGCAACACAGGCAGCGAAAGCAGTCCAAGACGCAGGTAATGCAGTCTCAGACACGAGAAAACAATACTGACCCGTGAGGTGGGTAATGACCATCACCTCAAGGCATCAGTTACCAAGTAGTTTGGTATATAGCATTGAGGGAGGAAGTGTTTGAAGGATTTTTAAGAAAACTGTGAAGTTCTCGGATTCATTTATGAGGAGCAGTCCTGAGCCTGAGGTAAGTTCTTGTCTCTTACCTGAGGGTAAGATCTTGTAACCGAGATCGCTAGTGACTCAGCTTGAAAGTGTGAAACCAGAGTCAGACTGTTCTGTCCTAGAATGTGACAGTGTTGGTGGAGTTGTCCTGAGGAACACCTCTTGCACATACCAAGTTCAAAGTGCATATATTGAGTGGATGTAAGGAAGAAGTTCTTCACCGAAAGGGTTATCACACACTGGAACAGGCTGCCCAGGGAGGTGGTGGAGTCACCATCCCTGGATGTGTTTAAGAGACGGGTGGATGAGGTGCTGAAAGATATGGTTTAGTGGTGGACAGATACGGTTGGACTGGATGATCTCTAAGGTCTTTTCCAACCTAGTGATTCTATGATTCTATACATGCAGAGCTGTGCAGACCCACAACAGTCATAGATGTGCTTCAAAGGGGACGTGCTTTAACAGACTGATTTATTTTCTGTTGGAGAAGCAGTAGGGACACTGGTCTGTAGATTATGCACCAGATTTTAATGAAGCTTTGGTGTCATTGTTTTTGCAGTGCGAATGGTCCAAATGTCACAAGGCTTTTGGCATTTTCAAACTATTCCTTTAGATCTTTCATAGGATGGCAACAATTCATGAAGCTTGCAGAAGGCTGTCAGCACCAGTTCTCTGTGGGACCAATGCCAAGGTACCACTATTTACCAAAGAGAAGCATGTTCCCCAGCAGATTGCTGTGAAAGACATTGCTATTAAAGTAGTACTAACAGGTGGAAGGAGTAACAAAAAATTCTGGTTTTGCCTTCCAGGGACAAATAAGTATGAGATGTGATGTCTCATGCAGCAACTCTTCCCAGTGACATGAAGTAATTTATAAAGCTGTTGTGACTTCTTATTTTGTATAAGCAACATACTCGACGTTCATGTGAGCCACTTCTTCTCTAACAAGGTGAACTAAAATAATGGCTTTAGAAAGACAGAAATATAGATTGGTATCCAGAAAAAAAAAAAAAAAAAAAAAAACAAAACACACACAAAGAGGAAGGAGGAAAATGCTGAATTAAGTTTTGTTAAAGCTGCAGGAGCCTCTGAGAGTGCTGTTCCTGCAACAGGCTTACATGTGTTGCTGCAATCCCAAGGTCTAGCCAGGGTTGATGAGACACAGTACCTACATGCATGAAGTTAATGAGGGATGAATGGCTTCAATAGGAAAGGTTTTTTGTGGGGAAGTTTTGGGTTAGGGATGTGAAAGTTTTTAGCAAGGGTACTTTTGGCATTGCAGCATTAATCAGTAATACTCCATTCTGCTGTGATCACCCCTTTTTCAATCTGAAGATCTTAGGCTGCTTGCAATAATTGTGTAACCCCCGAGTACTAGTAAACTTGTTCTTTGTGCTTTATGACTGAGGAAAAAAGAAACAGGAGACAAACTGCAATTACTCGGTGATGCGTAGGTGTTCACACAAAGGGGTGAAAGAGCTGAGGAGAGGAGCTTTCCTGCACTGCTATAGCAGCAAGGGTTTGGCGTTGGCCATTCTGTTTGTTCCTGTTTACAAGCTGGGATGTGTTAAATTTAGGCTTGAATTGATTTGAGGAGGTTATGTAGCTATTGAGAAATCTGTGTCACTCCTGAAATTATGTGTAAAGGCTACTA